CACTGGCCCTCATATGTGGGATCTGAACCGGGGCCCTCTGGCGTCCCAAGCCAGATCTTAACCATTGCGCCACTCGGCCGGCCCTGTCAATTCTTTTTAATCCAACAAATTACTACTAGTTTATCAGGACAATGTTTGCTTAGATTTGTGCACGTGTTTACCCTTTTATCTATTCACTCTTCCCTCTTATTCCATCCTCCTGTGGGTAATTTTCCTTCTTTCCAGCACATCCTTTAGATATTTTTTTTTTATACAGGTCTGTTGGTGGCAAACTCTCAGTTTTTCTTCTAATCAGAAGATACCTTTATTTTATTCTTGTTCTTGGAACATACTGGTAGTAACTGGGCAGTTCTCTTTCAGTCCTTTGAAGACATTCTTCCACTCTCTTATGGCTCCTGGTGTTACTAATGAGAAGTCAGCTGTCACTCTGTCATTCCTCTTTAGGTGATCTTTTCTTTTTTTCCCCAGTTATTTTTTAATGTGGTAAAATGCACACAACATAAAATGTACCATCTTAACTATTTTTAGGTATACAATTCAGTGGTATTAAGTACATTCACATTATTATAAAACCATCGCCACCAACGATCTCCAGAACTCTTTTCACCTTGTAAAACTGAATCTTTGTACCCATTAAACAGTAAGTCCCCACTCCGTCTTCCCACCCCAGCCCCTGACAACCACCATTCTACTCTTTGTCTCTATGAATTTGACCACTTGAGGTACCTCACATAAGTGGAATCATAAAGTATTTGTCTTTTTGTGACTGGCTTATTTCACTTAGCATAATGTCCTCAAGGCTCATCTATGTTGTAGCACGTGTCAGGATTTCTTTTTTTAAGGCTGAATAATATTCCATTGTATGTATATACTACATTTTGTTTATCCATTCATCCATCAATGGACACTTGAGTTATTTCTATCTTATAGCTATTATGACTAGTGCTTCTATAAACATGGGTGTGTAAAGATATCTTTGAGGCCCTGCTTTCAATGCTTTTGGGTATATACCCAGAAGTGGAACTGCTGGATCATATGATAATTCCATTTTTATATTTTTGATAAGAAAATCAATACTGTTTTCCACAGTGCCAGCATCATTTTTACAAGGCACAAGAGTTCCAGTTTCTCCACATTGTAGTGATTTTTTGTTGGTGTTGTTCTGGATGGTTTTAAGATATTTTGTCTTTTGAGTTCTACAGTTTTACTATGGTAAACCCAATTGTACTTTTCTTTCTCTCCTGCCTTCCCTCTGCTTTCTTTCCTTAATCCTGCTTGTGATATGTTTTGTTTCTAGAATCTGTATATTCATGACTTCCATGAGGTTTGCAAAATTCTCAGCTATTATTTCTTTGAGTATTACCTCTCCTCCATTCATTAGTTCTGGGACTCATAATATATATGTTAGGTCTTCTCATTCTATCCTCCATATCCTTATTGTTTGTCACATTTTCCATCTTCTCGTCTCTCTGTTCTATATTCTATGTAAGTTTTTCAGATTCATCTTTTTTTTTTTTCTTTAATTGGGGAACCATGTGTTTTTCCAGGACCCATCAGCTCCAAGTCAAGTAGTTGTTTCAATCTAGTTGTGGAAGGTGCATCTGGTGGCCCATGTGGGGATCAAACTGGACACCCTGGTGTTATGAGCACTGTGCTCTAACCAACTGAGCTAACCGGTCACGCCCTCAGATTCATTTTCTAGTTCAAAAGCTCTCTCCTCACTTGTGTCTGATGTGTTGTTTAACGTGTAAACTGAGTTATTTTTAAAATTTCTACTACTATATTTTCCATTTATAACAGTTCCACTTGGTTGTTTTTCAGATCTGCTTGGCCATTCTTAACTCTCATGGTTTCCTCATCTTTATGATTCCATATTCCTTTAAACATTTCATACATAGTTATAGTCTTTAGATTTCAATTCTAACATTTGAAGCCCTGTCTAAATCCACCATCTGTTGTTTCTGCTGACTCTTATTCATGGAGGAGTGTCTCTTTTGTCCTTGGTAACCACTTTAGACCATTCACAATAAGGGTTTTGGTTTATGGTTTGTACTTTTTTGGAGAAGGAAAAGAAGAGAGTGGTCCCGGAAATTTTCCTACTTCCTTTGAGCTCAGTAATGCTTTAATAAGTATGTTTTAAGTATAGCTATTGCACTGTGTTGTACAGCTGAAACTAATTCTAAAAAATGTGCATTTCATAATAAAAAATAATTTAATAAAAAAAATAAAAAAATAAGTATGTTTTATGCAGGATATATTGCTGTTTCCTCAGAGTATCTGGAATATTTCATCATTTTGTCAAAAGCTAAAGTCTTATTTTCCATGGAATTCACAGTGAATTATGATTTTGTCCTTTTAAAAAATTCCCCCAAAATACTTACAAAGAACAATGGTTCAATTTAGTTATTTTCAAGTTCTAGAGTATTATGCCACAGAATACTTAAGACAAAAAGAGTATCAGACAAATCGTTTGGATTTTAAAATCCTCTAAACATGAGACTGCTTAGCAACATGAATCAAAGACTGGAAAATGAAAGCAAAAGAATACCCAACAATTCTGGTGTGTCGGCTTATTGTGACAAAGAAAGAGAGAAGAAACCACAAGAGACAACAAAATAAGGTGCTTCCTCTATCTGGTTTTCCAGACTTAGAAGCATAAGTTTTGACAAGGTATAGGGATTTTGTAATCATATTCTCACCTTTATACTTCCCCCAATAAGATCAGGAGGCTCTTCATCTGTTTCCAAGGCAACATTTACAGATGCAAAGGGACGACTGGCCATCTGCTGCATCTCTCGAAGAAGTTGCTGGTGAGTAGTAAAGCAAGCATTAATGCAATGAGTACTGAGAGGATTTTATTAGAAAATACTACATATTAAAAATACATCATCTGGGCCGGCTAAGTGGCGCGTTGGTTAAGAACTGGCTTGGGACGCCAGAGGGCCCCCAGTTTGGATCCCACATATGAGGGCCAGTGACACTGTCCTCTGCAGTTAAGATGGTAAACGGCAGCTCGACCTGGGGCTGGGCTGCTGTGGGTCACTGGTGACGGCATAGGCTGCAGTGCCCTGCTGCAGTGGGCTGCCATAAGCTACTGTGTGTAGCTGGCAGCCAGCGTGAGCAGCCAGCAGCAGCCATGAGTGGCTGTCCAGAGGCCAGCGACTGATCTGCCTCGCCCAGGAAGAACGCAATGATGGCGCCAGCTTGGGCCAGTGAAGCAACATCCTCCACAACTAGACTGAAGAACAAAAGGACAGCAACTTGTCTTTTCCCCTTCCCCTGATTCCCCAGCGCTGTTCCCCTCCCCCAATTTCCTAATAAAATCTGTAAAAAAAAACCCCAAAAAACATCATCTCCCCTGATTCAAATAAATCCAATCCAGAATGACATTTTTGAAATAGTTGGGGAAAGTTAGACATGAACCAGGTACTAGATTAACAACAGGAATTATTCAATCTTGTTTGATGTGGCAACAGTATTGTCATTAAATAAAAAACTTCCATGTTAGATATACATACTTTAGTATGGATATAATGCCATGCCTGCTTGTTAATACATAAAAATAAATGATATAGCCCTATCCCCTCGTATTTTTAAAAATTATTTAATTTTATTATTAGTTTCAGGTGTCCCCTCATATTTTTATTACTAGATTAAATCGAGGCTTTCTTTATTCCTGCTGAAACTTGAACCATGTATTTATACAGCAACAAAAACCTGTCCTTCGTTACATAGTAGTTAGGAACAGAAAAAGTTCTTGATTCAGAGAGGTGGTGTAAACTAAAAATACAAACAAGTGTGAAGTTTTGCAGAGTTAGAGGGACAAGCAGGGGCTCTGAATTTAGGGTTGCTTGGATATGAATTCCTGTTTCAACTCATCAGCTGTTGTAACCTTTAAAAAGTGTTTTAAGTCTGTGGGCATCAGTTCCTTCCTCTCTGAAATGGGTTTTTAATCCCATAAACGTGTCAGTTGGATCAAATGAGATGCTTTAACTAGCACAGTGTCCTGCACACGGTAGGGGTGGGGTGGGGGGTGGGGGAGGACAATCATGTATCATTAATGATATCAGAGATCTGGACATGTCATTGAAGCTTTGAGGTCATGTCACGGGAGATGACCAGGTCTTACTTTCAACCAACCACTTGGAACTACTGGAGGAGTGAGAATCTTGGGCTGGACAGATCATGGCTCTGTTTTAGACGGGCATTTTTATGTTAAATATTTTCTGAAATTACCCATAACAACATTCTTACATCTCCTAAAGCTTGGTCTATTTATTCAAAAAAATATATGCAGCAACTTGCTCTGGGTTGTGTGTGTGCTATTCTAAGTGCTAGAGTCACAGGAAGACAGCATGCCTACCCACCTCCAGTTCTCATGCTAGTTCCTTTATGATGAGTGAAGGAGAGAATGTGTATAAAAGCATTTAAAACAGAGCCTGGCACGTAGCAAGGGCTTAAGCAGTGCTAACTGCAATTGTTTTTGTTGTAAATAACAAATCATTTGTTCTATAACTCTGAGAGGGATAAATCATGACAGTTCCGAAATGATGAAATATATGCTGAATGGTGAGGTTCACAGTCACAGAGAAATTTTAAATCACAAGGGTAAAAGCTGAGTTTACTGGCTGATCAACTGCATAAAAATCATAGCTTTTTTAAAAAACCTTTTTTCTGCAAGGTGTTCATCTTGTCCTTCTTTTCTTTCATGTATGTTGTAAATATTTTCCAATTGGTTGTCTTGTTATTCGTTTATTTTTTTATGTTCTTCAGTATTCATTTTTATGTAGGCAAATCTCTACTATATTGTATTTTAATAATCTTATTTGAAAATAATAATTTTGTCCCCTTTCCAATAGTAACAAAACTTTTTCTTTCTCTTAGTTCCAGTCTAGTATATCGAGAACAAAATTAAGTGACTATGGGGATTACGTGATTATTAGGTGACCTGTGAAGATAGAAGTCTGAAGTTTAAAGGCCAGTTCAGCCTCTAGGTAACTGGGTGATGAAGGGTAAGTTACTTTGCCTCTCTGAGCCTCGGTTCCCTCATCTGTGAAATAGGGCTAGTGTCAGTAACCATTTCATAGGGTTGTTGTGAGGAATAAACTAGCTAATCTATATAAAAGCTCCTAGAACAGTGCTTGGTATTTAGAAATGCTCGAATTTCAGCTATTATTAATAACTTGTCTGGATTTCATTGGTACAACCGCTAATATTTTTTCATCATGAGTGACCTTGGTTATCTAGATATTCTTCAAAGTGTTAAAGAGGTATTATTTTAGAGTTTACTAAGAGCTTTATTTTTTAAACTAGAAATGAGTGTTGAATTTCAAAATGACTAAATGGTTACTTGGCTGCTACTAAAATTTTAGGTTTTACTTTTTACCCACCGATATAACATTCTAGTTGGTTTTCTGGTATAAAATGACATTTTTATTACACTGATAACTTAGACTGCTGCACATGCAGTCATTATACCACTGGCCTTTATTTTTTTGGTGCTATCTTTAACAGGTTTTGGTTTTAAGGCTTCTATGCATTAACATGATTTAGGACACTCTTAAGCTTTTCATCTTATCCTTTGCTCTGTAACAGTATACATATTTTGGAAATAATTCTCATAAGCACCCAGGGAGGAATAGACTATTTTTATCTCCATAAGCTCGTCTCAAATTGAAACTCCCTGAGTCTAATGCCCTAAGTGGGGAGAGTAATATTTTGACGTTTTCTTTTCATTCATTCATTCATTCATTCATTCATTTTTAAAGATTTTATTGGGGAGTTGGGGAAGGGGAACAGTGTTGGGGAATTAGGGAAGGGGAGCAGCCAAATTGTTGTCCTTCAATCTTAGTTGTGGAGGGTGCAGCTAGCTCAGCTCCAAGTCCAGTTGCCATCTGGTCGCCCATCGGCAGCTCGCAGCTGCTCATCTCAAGGTGACGTGTTCAATCTTAGTTGTGGGCAGGTGTAGCCCACCATCCCCTGTAGGAGTCAAACCGGAAACCTTGTTGCTACGAGTGCACGCTCTAACCACTGAGCCATTCTGCCACCTGTTGGCAGCTCAGCGGCAGCTCAGCTCGGGCGCAGCTCACTGGCCCATGTAGGAATCGAACCAATGACCCTGGTGCTCAGAGCTCGCACTCTTAACCAACTGAGCCACTCGGCCAGCCCCTTGACAAGTTTTCAATTCCTTTCCTGGTTACCAGTTTACTGTGACTCCCACTTCCTTCTTACTCCATTTGGCTAGCTTGTATTTTTTTCAGAACACTGTATAATTCATTGGGATTTTAAAATGTCTTAGTAACAAACTATTAAAAAAATCCTCTGAATATGTTATTCACTGAATTTTAAAAATAATAATAAAGAGGATGCAACACTACCTCTATGATACCATCACCTTTACATGGGTCAGAAAAGATATCATGGTCCCCAGAAGAGGTCCGTATCCTAGAGCCTATCTTAACACCATTAAGACACTAGTGTTCTATGAACAGTGCTGAAGGCGGAGTGCTTGTGAGTTTTAATTTTAGATATTCCCGAGCTCTTCTAAATCTTGCCTACAGATCAATTTTTATACAGAAAAGGCTACGAGTAGATACAGAGAGCGAAGGAGTGCATATAATCTAGGTCTTAGTGCATTTCCATTAGTAATAATGCAATAGACATGATGACTAAAAGGCAGAGTATTAACAAGTGAAAGTTACAATAAATAAAGTTCTTATGTTGTCATATTAATCATGTTTATTTGATTTGTCAATTGTAAATATTTGACATTATTTTGGAATGGAGCTCTGGAAATAAATCAAGATGGAAAAGTGAAACTCAAGCAAAAATTTAATTAGCTACACTTTTATCTTTCTTTGAATAATGAGACATTTTTGAGATGTGTAAAGGGCTGATTTTACTCTCGTTCTTATGGAAGGCTCTTGTGAAGGC